ACCCACAAGTGGAATTGCTCGATCTCATGGTAATTCTGTTTGGTTTTTCTTTGGGAGCCTCCATATCATGTTCTGAAATGGCTGTACCACCAACCAGGTACGAGGTTCTTTTTTCTCCACCGATCTTTCGACAGTAGCTGTCCTAATAGCTATCAGGTGATCTCTCATTATGATTTTAATCTGCATTAGTGATGTTCAGCACATTTTCACGTATCTGTCAGCTTTTTGAGAATTGTCTCTTGAGGTCCTTTGCCCACTCCCAATAGGATTACTTGTTTTCTTGTTATTGCATAGTCTTGAGTTTTTCATATATTTTGGACATGAGCTTCTTATCTGACGCATGACTTATAAATATCTTCCCCTGATCTGCGGGTTGTCTTTCTTTCTGCTGTCTCCTTTGCTGTGTAGAAGCCTTTTAATTTCATATAATCCATTTGTCTCTCTTTGCTTTTATTGCTCTATATCTTCTTTTGTGTATTACTGAGTTGTGGGAGCTCTTGACATATTTCAGATACAAGTCCTCTATCCCACACATGTTCTGAAATTATTTCCCCCAATCTATGACTTGTCCTTTTATTTTCTCAGAAGTGTCTTCTTCCCAAGTGGTATGAATTTTGACGAAGTCCAGTTCATCCATTTTTTCTTTTATGGCATACAGTTTGTCTCCTATTTAAGAATCACTGCCTAACTCTAGTATACTAAGATTTTTTGCCTGTGTTGTTTTCAAGAAGTTTTATAATTTTAGCTCTGACATTTGGAACTAGAATCCACTTTGGGTTAAGTTTTTGTTTAGAGTATAAGGTAAGTGGGATAATTTTTTAAAAAACCATATGGCTATTAAATGTTGCAGCACTGTTCTGTAAAAGGACTGTCTTGTCCACTGAACCAACTTGGCTTCTTTGTTGGGAATTAACTGACTGTACCTGGGTGGTCTACTCTGGATTCTTCCTCCTATTTCATTGATCAGTACCACAGTGTCTTGATTGTATAGCTTTACAAGGTAGTGCAAGTTCTGCAACGCTGATCTTTTTCAAAATTGCCTTGGCTATTTTTTTTTTTTTTTTTTGAGACAGGGTCTTGTTGTTAAGTTGCCCAGGCTGTGCTTGAACTTGCAGTTCTCCTGCCTCAGCCTCCCCGAGTACAGGGATTACAGATGTACATAATACACTGGGCTGTGCTTCAGCTCTTTCAGGGCTGCTGTGTTTCAATTTTAGAACCTGCTTGTCAATTTTAGCAACAACAACAAAGGCCTTCTGGGATTCTGACAGGGCTTGCTTTGAATTTGTAGAACAATTTGGAGGAACTTAGCCCTTAACAACAGTGAGCCTGGGGACCCGTAAGCATGGTCCACCCTTCCATCCATGAAATTGGTCTTTCAGCCTTCTGTTTCTCTTGGCAGCCTCCACTGGACATACCTGGCATACACTTCGTTAAACCCTCCAAGTACTTCACTTTTCTTCGACTCCAAGAATATAAATGCAACCTCTTTTTACAGCTTTTTCGTAATACAGTTGGCATAAAATAAACTGAATGTATTTGACATATATAACTTGATATGTTTTAACAAATCTCAGTAAACACACGCCCCAATGAAGAGAACGAACCTATCCGATTACGCTGTCAAACACTCGCGTTGCTGAGTGAATCCACAGCTCGTTCCTGCTTCTCGCTCAGCTGTATTCGCCTGCGGAGCTGTGCTCCGTGTTCACCCACTCCACTCACGACAGGCCGGCTGGAAATGTGACAACTCATTTATCGAATATTACTGAGTACCTGCTCAAGGGAAGGGCACGGGAAGGCATAGGCAACATAGGCGCTAAAGGAGACCGCCATGGTGACTGCCCTTTGGTGCTGACATCTTAGAAGGAAAATCGGACATGAAACAACATAGTCGCAAGTAATCATTTGCTCACAATGAAGGACAGAATGCTCTGCAACCACCCTAGACTGGAGGCTCCAGAAGCTTCTTTAGAAAGCAGTGCTCCAGTGAGCGCAGAAGGACTCAGGAATCAACAAAATACGTCACCCCAGGGGCTGTGATAAGAGCCACAATGAAGTGGTTCTGGGCTCCAGGATACTCCCCGAGGCTGCGTATTTTTAATAACTGATTTATTTACTCACCTACTGAAGCCTCCAGTTCCTCCAGAAAATTAATCCTAGGCTTTGGCATAAAAACAGGATATAGGAGCCCCGTCACCTTCTGCCTTCTGAATCAACATTACAGTGGGAGCCCTCTCCAGGACAGAAACATCCCTCTGTATAATGAGATGACAATGTCTCTCAGGAATCATAGTAAAATCCCGAATAGAGTAACAAAAAGAGTTGTCATCCCGAAGAGAACAGCAGCAGGAGCTACCCTGGCCAAGCGCGTAACCGTGGGGATGCGCCACTGTGTGCTTAGCTTCTGAACTGCTCTCGGATACTGGTTTCTTTTCCCCTCTAGTTCTTGGTTATTACAGATAAAACCCTTCCTGTCCACTGCCCAGCAAGAGTCCTCAGTAGGCACTTCTCGCGGGCAGGGACTCTGTACTCTTACTCCAACGCACATGGCAGCCTTAGACGTGGACACTGTCCCCGCCAAGAATAAACTAAAACCCAGAGAGTGAATAACTTGCCTATGGTTATGCATTGCTTGGTGACAGAGAAGAAATCTGTGCACACAGCTTTCCTCCCTTATCCACAATACAAATCAGCATGCAAACAAGAATGCTACAAGGACCCTAAAAAGGAACAGGGTAGGGGTTCCTGAAACTCCGTTAACATCAAAATAATTTGGTGATGGACAACAATATGCTGGTGGCTCTGACTGCTACTGCTAAGGACCAGTGGCTCTGACCGATACCATGCAGGGTGAAATCATCAGGGAAGACAGTGTGGTGTCAAACAAACCTGAGTTCAAGGAGCAGTGTGTTACGGTTTGTGTCTGGCTGTCCCCCCACAGCCTTGTGCAGTCATGGGGATTCATAGTGCAATGCCGGGATGAAGGGTACTGGAATTAGGCTGAGTGATTGCTGATGGGATTGGCACCGCCCTAATCCCAGTAGTCTAGATAAAAGGGGCAGAAAGAGGCTTGTTTCCTCCTTCTGCTGTTGTTTGTTGCTTTTGCTGTCTTCTGCCACCATGACCTGTTGCCCCTGTGCCATGTGCCATCCTGCCTTGGAGCCAGCTGATTATGTACTAAAACCTCTACAAACTGTGAGCGAAAGAAACCTCTCCTCCTTTAACTTTGGTTGTCGGGTATTTTGTCTCAGCAATGAGAGAAAAGTAACTAAGACACAATGCTTCTACTTTTTGCCTGTGGTTTCAGGCAGGTTAGCTAAGCTTGTTTAGTGTGATCACAGACTGAGGAAAACCATGTGAGTGTCATAGTTCTTTGCTGTGCAAAGGCCAGAGGTACCGTGTGTAAGCACTGGCGACTCAGGCAGGACTGGAGCCGTGCACACAGCAGATGGTCGTGAAAGGTTCCCTCTAGAGATTCCCACAGTGGGAGATGAGCCAGTCTCCTGGTCTTAGTCCTCAAACTCGCAGCGACTCTTCAGTGCTGGTGTGGCATGGAACCCAAGCCATCAGAGGACAGCGGCGCCCTGTCTACCTTTCTGTATAGACTTCCTGCAGAATGACCGGAAATGCTGAAGAGGCGGCACTCTGTCCCCATGGCCACAGCATTCTGAATATCCTCTTTTCCATCTCACTTTTGCCACAAAAATAAACACACAGGTAGAGTCTAAAACCACTGTATACAACAGGGGGAGAAGATGTTGGCGGGAAAACCCTCTCTTTTCTCATGACTTGGCTAGAGAAACAAGGGGGCAGTTAGGGGGTCTTTTGTTGTTGTTTTAAAGGGAATACTGGCGTACCGAATGTCACCCGACACCCTACAGGAGACGGTGTAAAAGTCATCTCTGATGAATGAAAATAAATCCCAAAAGATGAACGCATGTTTTATTAGCTACGCTCATGCCTTTCATTGGCCAATATACTCCTGACCAGGGTATCACACATCAATCTCTTTCAGAACAATTTCTTTTACACTCAGCTGGAGCTACATTTAAAAACAGGACAAAACAGGGAAATCTTACATGCTTAATTTTTGGTGGTGATTTCCTGTCTCTTCCCCTTAAAATCCACCTTTGATTTCAGAGTCTTGAAATAAATTTCTTCAATAAATACATGTACCAAGTACAGCTTCATTTAATAACATTTCATGATTTCTTAAGAATTCCTAATTCAACAAATCCTGAGTCAATGAAAGAAAATGGTCGCTCCCTCCTCCCAAAGGCCGGCTGACCACGGGGGATAAATCTCATCACTCTTCCGTGCCAGCTGCGGCTAAGTGATTTATGCAGCCCTGTGCTCGCGGCTGATACCACCGTCGCCCGCTGTGGTGCGGGCCTCTGCGGTCACTGCTCTGCCTCGAATGCAATGTCCTCTCCCCCACTGCCTCTCCCCCAGCCTGGGCTCGGGCACTTTCCCCTGGGAAGACCTTTCCTGGTCTCCACACTTAACCCCTGAACCTGTCCTAATCCATCAGCCGCACCGAAGGAGCGGTGATAGAGAACACTTCTCCCTGAAGACAGCTGGCCGACCTCGCCACTTAGACCCGGAGAGCTGGCCGGCAGCAGGCCTGCACTCTGTCCCTCAGCGTGGCTGGCGTGGGGTTTGCTGATGTCACGTTTACTGTTCAGGAGCCCAGCTGCCCGACTCAAGGGTCTGCTGCTCAAGGACACAATTGGTTAAAATACTACAGATGTGCTTTTGAAACTATCCCCTGGGGCTCCCTTTCGACCTCTTCACCATTGCTGCTTGGGGACAGGGTTTCCCCAGGGGCTGTTGAAGGACAGCTTCCTAATCCGTGCTCTCATGCACAGTTTTTGAACTCTGCTGGGAGAGTTTGAGAATGATGACTCTGGAGAATGAAATACAATGCGCTTTTTCAAGAAAGACCAGCAATCACAGTGGGAGACAGTGAGCCCTTAAATACATGGTTTAAACCTCCTCACCTCGTAGCCAAACTGCAGCTCATCGGAGGTCAGCATGATGATGTCATCGTCGATGGCCAGCACGGCCTCAGTTTCGATTTCATCGTAAGGGAAGAAGCGGTTGCTCAGCTTGTTTTCGGCGGTTCTCACGACTTTTAATGGAACCCGGATTTTAGGCCAAAGAGAATCTGGAAGAAAATCAGAACAGGGTGTTTACTACTTGCTGAAAATCTGTGAGGAGATTAAGTGTTGAAAGCACCTATCACAGGTAAAGCAGAAGGGTCAGCTTCTATCTGTGGCTTTCAATAAACTCAAAGATACAACAACTTGTTACAGAAGCATTTTTATCATAATAAATATATATGTACACATTTCTACCCTCTAAACCCTCAACAACACCACTAATTCCTCAATACTGTCTTAATTAGAATAAACAAACTGGCTTCAAATCACAACTGGATGCAGAAAAGCAAAATCACCTGTATTAGATTTAGCTCTAATGATCTAATGAGATGTCCCCATATTTCCTGCGTGTGGATGGTCATGGATCATGGGGTGGCTATGCTCATCTATGGGTGACTTTGGGGTTGAATGTGCTGTTAGGTGGAGCGTGGCTGGAGGCGAGGCACTGAGGTGGCACCTGGAAGGCTGTATTCTTCTTGTAGGCTCCTCCTCCACCTCTCTGCTTCCTGGCTGCCATGGGGTGAGCAGCTTTCTTCCGCCAGGCCCTGCTACCATGCCATTTCAGCCCCCAGTCAGCCAACCATGGACTAAACCCCCCGGAAATTGTGAGCTAAATCTATCTCTGCTCCTTTAAATTGTGCGTGTCTGTTGGTATTTTGTCCCTGCATGGGGAAGTGACTAAGATAGCTCGAAGAGTTCATGATGACAGTAACAGTGAGTGTGGGTCACTGCAGTCTCAGTCTCTGCCACCTCTGCCAAGTGTTCTACAATGTACTTCCACGTGGTGCCTTAGCTACAGGCCGGCCATGCTCGGAACCACAGAGTCCATACCAAGGGTGCCCGCCTTGCGGGCCCTTCAGCCCTGCCACCCAGGCGGGGCTCCTGACACCCCCCTCACAGCGAGCGGCAGGTCTGCTGGGAGCAGTACTGCCTTCCAACCGAGCACTTCATGCCCTCCTCCTGACTCACTAGGTTTGGATTCTCATTATGACCAATTTACAGAGTAAATATCAAATTTCTAGGTCCAATTATGTTGGATTTTCTAGGATACTGAAGAAACACCAATATAACTTGCCTCATGTATTCTTTTCTCATTCTACTTTGAAATAATTGGAACAATTCAACCGCAGGTTCTTTAACACGTTGTATTTAGCATAACCCATAGTTAACACTTCGTTTGTACAGTTCCAATGTTGCAGACCTCAGTGTTCTTCTTGTTCATGTAACATTTGCCAGGTGTGACCAGGAAAGCCAGGCATACTGATTTCAAAATGTCCATCATGACACTGCAGGAAGATCTAATTTTTGTGGGTCTTGAGGCCATAAAGAAGAAGACAGAGTGAAAGTCAAAGAGGACAAGGCAGTCTTACTGATGTGGATATTTATGATATCCCATGTGTGCATATTTATGATATGACCCCGACCCCATAATGCATCACTTCTAAGGGAGACAGTCACAATTTTATATTCACCTGTGGCAGAGAGCCCGAAATAGTAACGGTCAATTCAAAGAGAAGTGTGTCTGCAGAGAGGGCTGAGTCCTAGACTAAAAATGATCCTTCCTGCCACTGTCTTTTAACTGCTAACAAGTTAATTCTAGTTTCATTCACTCATTCCACACCCCTAAGACCTCTGGATGAATGCAGGGGCACATAGCCAGGAGACTGGAGACCTATGTTCCACATTAGCTCTAATTCTCAGGGGAAGAGCAGGCTAAGGAGGGGAGCTGTGTTATTCTGCACAGGTCCTTTACAGACAGGTGCCATTCAATCCACATTGGTCCTTTACGGTGTCACTCAATCCTCCCAACAACCCCAAGGGGCACAATTTATAGATAAAGCAGTATTTACGTGGCTCAGAGAAGGTAAGTAACTGGTTCAGTGAGACACAGCTAATAAATGACAAGGCCAGTATTGGAAACTAAATCTGTTGGGGATCAAGGGTCAAATATGACCTGTACCATCCATTGAAGCCTAAAAATCCCAATTCTATTTTTGTAGGTCTGGAATAAAACTATGAAGTTCAGTAATTTTCTTCTGTAATCATCTGTATTCTTCCTTGCTTCAGAGAAATAAAATCCCTGTCACATAACTATGGTTCCCAGACCCTTATAAAACATGATTAAGTATAGTACCTAAAATGAAGGCGGTGATAGCTCTACCTATTAGACCAGGGGTTCTTAGACTTTTTGGTCTCAAAATTCCTTCATGCCCTTAAAAACTGAGAGTCCCAAAGTAGTTTAATTTACACTCCAGGGGTGGTTCCAGGTAGGCTGCACTGAGGCTGTAGGTGGTTTCCAAGGAGAGCCATGAAGAATGTGTTCCGTGTTAAACCTGAGGAAATTTTCCAACACGAGTGCACATTCCTTAGCCTGGAGACTGACGTTTTCCTCTCATACCAATGCACTCCGGGAAACTCCACTGTTCCCCTATGAAAGAATTAAAGATGGCAACGGAACTCATGCCTCAGTATCACTATGCAAACAATTTCAACCTCCCAGGGCCCCTGGAAGGAGCTTGGAGACACCCTGGGTGCCCACGTCACACTTTGAGAATTGCTGTGCAGGGATTCATGTACAAATCTGGGCACCGAAATCTAAGAGAAGAACCCACAAAGCCAATGAATAGTGTGGAAGGTGCTTGGGGGACGGTGCAGGCCCGGAACCCGGGATTCCTACAGAGTGCTTCCGGGTCATCGATCTCCCACCTTGCAGTGCTGCATTCAGTCTGCTGCCCGGCTGTGCCCGAAGCTGGCTGTCCCTGCAATACCTCTCCCTGCCGGCTGGCACACAGTGGAGAGCTCTGTCAGCAGAGGGCACTGGAGGGCCGCTGTGGGGCACAGGGGCCTTTCTTGCCGGTTCTGGTGGGCCAGGTGTACTTCCTGCACCTGCAGCCCTGGCCGGCAAGCAGTGGTATGAGCCCCCAGGAAGTACAAGCAGTATCCTTGGGGTGAGCTCCACCGCCGCCCTGGTTACTTTCCTAGCAAGGCCACACCCGACACCCGGTGAGCTTCCCATTCGGTCCTGTGGGGACCCAATGGGTGGCTGGTTCCTCACACGCTGCAGCATCCAGGGAGCCGCGGCCCTGCCCTCTCCAACAGCGGCTGAATCTCAGGCCAGTGGGGAGCTGGGGCTTGATGTGGGGGCACTGTGGTTCTCCTCAGTTCACTCCAGAGGTCTTTAGCATTCTCCTTCCCTGGTAGCGGACAATCCTGTTACAGGTTAATGATTTCTTTATATTACATTTTTCCTGTTGCAATTGCTGCGTGGTTTCTGTTTTCTCACCAAACCCTGACTACAAGGGATGTCACAGCCGTTCTTGGATAAACAGGGAATTCTTCCCTATGGCCCCTGGAGTTAGAACTGTAACTGATGTCGGTGAAAGTTCCAGAGGAACTAGGTAAGAATTTCCTGATGGTACAATCTATCTGAAGACAGAATAAAATGCCTTCAGCAGCACAAGGTGCCCTTTTACCTGAAATGCGCTATAACTTTGGTCAGATTTCTACTTGACGTCAGCTGAGGGGCTCAACAGGATGGCTCCGTGGGCCCAGGGCTCCAGGAAACAGTAACATAGCACAGCGAGCACAGGCGGGAGCAGCCCGGCCCCACCGCTCATTAGCTATGCGACCTTGAACACGTCAGTCACTTTCCACTACGGAAAAGGAACAGAGACCCCATCTTCATAGCGCTTGGCACACCCCAGGCACACACTGAATGTCAGCTGTAGCCAGGGATGGTGCACGCCTGTCATCTTAGCACTCGGGAGGCTGAGGCAGGAGAGTGCTTCGAGTTTGAGGCCAGCCGGAGCTACATAGTGAGTTCATGGCCAGCCTGAACTATAGGGCAAGATCCTCGAAAAACAATAATAAATGTCAGCTGTGTCTTCCCACGAAAGCCAGCGCTATTCACAAAGGCAAAGGATTTTTAGGAACCTTAAGGAGAGGTGGCTGAGGGGTGTGTCCCCGACGATCCAGAGACATGCCCCCAGCTCACGCCTTCCACCTTCCGTGCCCCACCTTCACATCAGCGCAATCCTGCCCTGGAGCTGAGACCGTCTCACTTAGGAACAAAACTACAGAACATGGAACTTTTGCCACATTAATGCCACAAGGCCACAAATGATTTCTTTTCCACGCTCCGTACACCACCAGGATCCCAGACCTCCGCTTGGGAGTGTGGACAGCACGCTCACTGCCCAGGGCCTTCCACATTCGTTACCTGTAGGAAGCCAGAGCATCCTGGGGACAGTGCCCATAAAGAGCTCACGTGTCCCTGTGACGTCTCTGGGGGGAAGTTTTAGAGAGCGAGGAAAGCCACGGGGGTCCAGGTGGAGATGATGAGTCAGATATCAGAAATATGACTCTCTCTGGTCTAAGTTAGGTCTCGGTCACCAAAATCCTTCGACAAAAGTGGCCTCCATTGCAGGGGTCAGTTGCCCACGGATCGTCACGACCACAAGACAAGATTCTAAGCAGAAGTCCAGCTGCTTCTCTGCAGCTCTCTGGATGAAACCCGCCCATGCGGGAGGGACCAGCCTTCTCCGAGGCTTCAGCATCCCGCTGCGAAGTGCAGGGGGTGGGGATGGGGTGGGTGGCAGAGACCATGCCCTTAGAGGGTCCTGGTGGCAAACTGCAATTCTAGAAAAGTTACAGTGAAGAAACTGGGACTGCATTCAGTAGAGACAGAAGGAAGAATATATGTGAAACAGAAAAGAATTTTCTTCCCAATGGCATTTCGAAAGAATAAATTGACTTTTCTGTCTCTCTTTGAGCCCCTGACAAGGGTTGTAGCTGAAATAAAGGCAGTAGCCCTGTGCAAAGGGCACGAGCTTTGGATCCAAGGAGGTTTGTGTTTGTTTCCGTCCCTGCCTTTTGCAACTTTGTGATTTAGGCAAATTACTCATGAGTTTCATTTCTCCTGAGTGAGGATAATTACAGCTTCTTGGCAGGCTTGTGATAGGATAGAGATAATGTGTGCAAAGTATGCAGCAGTCCCATTCCTAGGATGCAGTAGGCAGAAATGCAAGGTTTTTAACAATCTCGAGCTGTTATCTCCACAGACAGATTCCTGTGAAGCCCTCTGAACTCCCTTCCCTGCTGATAGCCTGCAGCAGTCTAGACGGAAGGTTATGGGGAAGCCGAGGGAAGGCTGTCAAAGCCAGAAATCTCCAAGCTCTGTGCTGTTGGAAAGCCCGATGCAGGTCCCTGCCTCACCCCTTTTATGTTCTAAACAGGACGGCACACAAGCCTTGCAGCTTGGGTCTCATCCTGGGACTCCGTAGCAGGCAAAATAGAAACGTTACCTTCTAGTCACAAAAAGACTAACCTGAAAACTAGGATTTTCCAAGGATACACTGAATTTATGAAGAACAAACGGTTGAGCCAGGTGACCTGATTGCTTCACAGTAGGAGCTCTAGTCCAGCTCAAAGGAGCAAAAGAACTCCTGTGTCAAGGATTCTTCTCCTCCTCCTCCTGCTCCTCCTCTTCCTCTTTCTTCTTCTCCTTCTTCTTTCTTAAAGTATATTGATTAACAGCGTTCTCCATGTTGGATCCAAGAGAGATGTGAGCAAAGGGAATTTTTGTCCAGCTTGGCAAAAGTCCTGTGAAATACTCTGCCTACTGAGCACTATCGTCCACACAGAGTTAACGATCAGGCCGCCTTGCACGAACCCGGAGCGCCACGCCGTGCAGCGTAGGCCTGGGCCTTGTGACCCCAATTTTTCAGAGCCTCAGAACCCAGCTCAACGGAAAGCGGCTTCTGGGCTTCTGCCCTGCCCACCGGGGACCATGATATCACAACTGGAAGCTGCAAGGCCCCTCCTGTGATTCAAATTTTAAAATGAAATCAGTTAAAACCAAGGGCTGAATTACCTAAAATGGACAGCGTAAGAGGCCAGGGCCAGGGCAAATGACCTCTGCTCCCATCAAGTCTGGAAACTGAGGAGTTGCGGGTAGGGGACGGCAACAGCCTGGCTTTTTATTGACAGAGCTTAAAACCAATGTGACGAGAAATTGGTTGCTGGAAATTTCTATCGCCTAGCCTAAGTATTTACTTAAACTTCAGACCCAGCAATTTAGACATACATGTAACCAAAAGAAAAAAGTATTCGGTTGGGTAGGAAAATAAAAAAAAAAAAAAAAAAAAAAAAAAAAAAAAATGGGAGGAGGTAAGTTGCTGCCTACACTAACCCTCCCAGCAGCAGACATGTTAACCGCAGTATTTATTTTAGTAAATGTAGAGAAAGTGAAAAACATCACTTTTGCCTCTAATATTTCAAAGCCTTAGATTGGCACTACATTTTCTTTTTAATATGCATGTTACTAATGCTGTCCATGAAAAATCAGAGGCGTTGGCTGGCGGAGCAGAGCTCCCGTTTACCAACTAAACAAACAGCCCGCAGAAGATTAAACACGGTTCATGTTCTACCCAAACAGCCACCTCGCCAGAGCCAGGGCCCTGACCTAAAAACCACTGTCAAAAAGAAGCCAGTCCATCACAACACGTGTCAGAATTAGGGCCTCATCAGCTCAGAGCCAAAGTATTTGAAAAATAAACCAAACCCTTGGTCGCACAAAAGTAACCACTGCATTTGAGCAGGGTCTACCAAAAATAAAACGGGATACCCACTTCCAAACCCCGGCTGGTGCTACTGCTTTTAGTTACATCAGCACAGGCACATGAACTAGGAGCAAGAGAAAGCTTTCTCCTTTCTCATTTCTGCCCCAACAAATAGTTCACCTTATGCCTAAAGCGCCTAACCAAGGTTGGAAGGGAAGACTCCTTTGCACTTTTTTAGCGTTGTTTTTGTTGCTGTTTTTTTTTTGAGACAGGGTCTTGCTATATATAGTTCAGGCCGGGCTTGAACTCATTATGTAGCTCAGGCTGGGCTCAAATTCTCAGCAATCTTCCTGCCTCAGCTTCCTGAGTGCTGAGATTACAGGTATGCTCCATCCCACCCAGCTTTTCAGTTGTACTTTCGATTAACAAATGATGCTTGCATGTATTACAGGGTACAGAGCGACAGTCCAGTCTAGTATGTGTGTACACTGTGGAACAGTCGTTGGAAACACTCGTATCTCCATGCTGTGCCCATGCTGGCTGCCTTTGCATGAATGTGTCGCTGCACACAGGGCCTCCCAGGCCCACAAGGGCCGCATGGTCTTCCTTCTTAAAACGCATGGCAAGGGAAGGGGCGAATGAGGCAGGCAGGCATGGAACTCACTTCGCCAGGGCAAGGCGATCGCTGTGGATGGGGCCATGGGGCCGGCAGGGCCCTCTCGACTTCCTGCTCCATCCAGCACCTCGGCCTTCCCTGGCATTCTCCTGTCTTACTTAGGTGACACCAACAATTCCCCTTCTCTCTGCCCCTTTCCTTCTTCTTTACTAAAACCAAACAAGCAGAATAAAAACCCACAAAACTGGCCCTGATACAGCATTGAGGGAAGGAAAAAAGTCGGCACAGAAAGCTCTCAAGAAAAAAAAAAAGTTGTACTTCAGGGCATAATGTAGGATTTCCGTATAAAATAGCCATTGTATTCATGCAAAGCGCAGCTCCCTAAACCCAAGGGGAAAGTACAGGAACGCTTTCAAAGCAAAAGATCCCATGAAGTTTTTGCAACGTCTCAGAAGGCACTGAAGAGTTTTCTTGGGCAAATTCTGATTTGCCTAAGAGAGACAGAAATAGGGTGCTCTCCCAGCCGCGAGGAGAAATCCACTACTGGGAGTCTGTAGGCCGACTACCCCGGCTTCACATAATCCATTAAAAGCACCAGCCATAAAAAGCACAGATACTACTGTCAGGCAATAAACTAGACCTTATCGGTGGCGGTGGTGCACATTAGAAACTTCAAACTCATTCCTCGCTCTAATCCATCAGAAACTTCCTGGCTTTAATAGGCTATAAATGGCAGGAGCTTTGAAGTCCCTGGGATTAGGATCAGTAATAGACAGACTCAATGAGAAACTAAATGCAGGTGGAACGTACTCCATGGGCCCCGAATTAAAAACAAATCCAATTAATCAAATAGTCCTCAACCCTAGCTGCCAGCCAGCCGCTTGTAGGGGTGGCCCAGGCAGGGGACAGGGAGATTCGGGAGGGACCGGTGGCAGCTTTGGAGGAGCTTGCTTGAGGGCTGACTCCCCTGTAAGGGGTGCTCCGCTGGCCCTTTCCCAGTCAGAAGCGGGCCACCCTTTTTAGGTTTTTTTTTTCTTCTTTAAGGAGAGCGCAGTATCAGAGCAGAGATAAGGAAAGAGAAAACTAATGCCTTTTAAACTGAGTTTTCATGTAAACAAATCAGCTGGATGGCTGCGGGAAGCGGAGCCCTGCTTTCCCAAGGCTGGGAGCCTTTGATCCTCCTGACTCCTAAGCCGTCAGACACTTGTGGCTGCAGAGGATGCCAGGGCTGGGAGTTAAGTGGGCCACCCTCGAGCACGGATGCGATGACAGAGAACCGGGCCCAGGCTGCCAGGGACACACCGACAAAGCAGGAGAATTCATCTCAAATGGAAGATGTGAATGAACGGGGCCAGGCCGGGTCACGTGGCCAGCTGAGAGCTGCAGGCCAGTCCCAGCCAGGCACCGCATGCAGCCTTTCCGCACTCTCCTTACCTTCCGGAGGGTTTTTATTCTGATTATTCCAGACGACCAGCAGCTTGGACAGACTGGGCACCTTGGACACCTCGGTGATGACCCGGAAGAGGCTCTCCACTCGGTCGTAGGTGAGGACGATGGCGGTGAAGCCCTGCGACTGCGGGGGGATGAGCGGCAGGAAGAGCGGGTTGCTCACACTGCTCCACTTCTGCAAGAGGACCGAGGAGCACAGGTCAGCGTGGGTCACAGCAGCACCTGACACCATCAGTACATTCAGCCACGGCTACGGCCAGGCAGAGAGGTGAGCACCTGTTCCAAGTCTCCCTCTCCTCTAAGTCTGTATGCACTCCCTTTAGGGAACTGTGGTTCTCATACCATCGAAAGCAGAGTTGAGAATTTCTGCGGCTGAGAAGAGACGTCAGGTTACACTTGAGATTAAAGGCAGGCACTTACCTCTGCTCCCTCCCTCAAGCCACCAAAAGGGGAGCTGATGAACATTAAAAAAGTAACTCCAGGGGTACAGAGATGGGAGAAGAGCCAAGAGCCAGTGACAGACTGAAAAAGCCCCAGAAGGCCAGAGACGGGTATGTGGGTGGACAGCGGCCAGCGGACACCCCACGGAGGGTTGGAGGCTAAACTCACCCGGCCTGGCCAGGAAAGGGGGGCGGCACGGGAAGCACAGACTGCTTACAAATCTGTGTCAGGAGCAATTAGAGGTGCAGAAAAGTACTCTTCCTATGGGAGATGGAGAAGGGAAGTTTATTCCTTGAGGAAACTGAAGCTCCAGACCCGGGGACACTGGCATAGCAGAGGGGAGACAGGCAAAAATTTTTTTTTTCATTTTATTTTTATTAAGAGTTCCTTAACACGCAAACCTGCATGCTATGTAATATTCTGCTTAACATCCCAGTAGGGCTTGATGAGCACAACTGAGTTTTCTTTTCATCAGTCAGGAAAATGCTTCCTTAATCAATGTCCTCCAGGCCCATTAACACACAGAAAATATCAGTGGCAGAGATGCACCTCCCTCTTCCCATCAAAGCCCACTGATATGGAAAACGAGCGACCTTTCTGGTGACCAGTAAGCACAGCTCATCATGCAAGTCCAGGAGACTCGCACACCGCACATCGGCATGGTTACCGTGACCAGAATCCTCCCATGTTCAAGGATCTTCATGTTGAACAAGGAGCCCTCATCCTTGTTCCCCCACAAGTTTCCAAGCTACTGGTGGCCATGTGGCCAGCCTAGCAGCGCCCATCTCCCAGGGGCACCCTCCGGGCAACAAGCGGCCTCATACAAAGGACTTGTGATCAGCTTTTAGTGCCTCCCTCTTAATCATGAACAGATTCTGGAATCACACACGTTTTGAGAGCATCTTCAGTAGGAGCAACAGAAGCCAAGGAACAAAGAAAAGAGGAGCTCAGAAGAAACAGACAATAGAAGCAGCAGAAGGGAATTCAAACAATAAATTACATCCTTGGGGAGATAAGATTTTTCATCCATGAAACAAGGACAAATTGCTATTTTCACTTAAAATGCTCTGTCAAAGACCAGAAAGAACTTATGGATGTTAAAAATACAATTCTTTATAGTTTTTTTTTTTTTTTTTGTAAAGGATAGGACTCTAAGATAAAGATGATAAAATATTCCATACTGGTAAATAAAAAGAGATTAAAAAAAAAAAGGACAGAAAAAAAGAGAAAATCCAAGAAGCCCAACATCCATTTAATAGGAGATTCCACAAAGTAAGTACAAAATCTGGATAGAATGAATCTATCCAAGAAGTTAAACATGTTCTAAGTACAGAAGATTCAAGGGCTGTGAACTTTCAGTTCACAAGGGACCCGTCAATAGCCAGTACAGTGAACATAAAAAAGAAGACAGACAAAAATAAAACCAATGGCAAAATAAAACAATGAAACAGAATCCACTATCATATCAAAGGTCAGTACCTTTACACACAGGGAACAAGGGAAATTCTCACAATGTGTGAATCTACACAGCAAGTCTGAACGAATTCACTGTGCAATTCTCAAAACTCTGTATGCTCGAAATCTGTTCAAAATAAAGTTGAAAGAATAATGAAATACAGTCTCTTTCCTACCACTAAAATGTTAACATTATTTAAGTGTAGCCACGTAAACAAGTATCTTTGTACTGATGACAGGAGAAAGATTATATAACGTTCTGATGCTTTTAATAACGTCACTGAGATATAATTCATATATCACAAGCATTCATGAAAGAATATGATAGTTTTGGGATACTACATTAAATTTAAAAAATTTTTCCCACCTAAACCATTTGCAAGTGTATAACTGAGTGTCACTAGTACTTACACTCACGTTCATTTGTAAATTAGCGTGTTTAAAAATAGGACTGAACTCCATCTCTGCTTAGAGGAGAATACGAAAGGCACTACTGGAACTCTGGCCATCTTACGCGTCCCTCAAGCCTTTCACACTCCAATTCCCCAGGTCCCCTACCAGTCTCATCACATCACTGATGGACACCCATCACCACATACATGAAAACAGTTGCCGGCCAGATGTAGCGGTGTGGGAGGGGCACAGGCACAAACACGTGGAGTACACATGAAGCGGGAGCTCAGGGAGTCCGAACTGGATCCCCAAGTCCTAATTAACCTGATATTAAAGCCAAAGTGGTCCCCTACATAGTTTGCACAAGCAGGAGACCCAACAGGAAAGGTTATCTATCTCTGCAGTGCTGACTTCCGTTTCTGTGACGTCACATTCTGACCCTGAGCTGTAGTCTCAGGAAGGTGCTGGATTTTAGTATTTGCACCCTAGCATCAGATTATATTTCTAGGAATCATTCTCAGTTTTCTCCCTCAAGTCTTACTCTTCATCTCTTCTTGACTTTTATGGAAAGTGAAGTCACTAAGTAGCCCCTTGCTTAATTCACAATCTGAAAGGAAGAGGTGACGGTCTAGCTGCCATTAGCACCTGCAACCCACCTCCCCTATACCTCGTGACACTATACTCCTTAAAGTCCACTTGAAAAACACCTTTTTAAGTGGCAAAGAAACAAAAAAAGATTTATGTGCATCCAATAATTTAATGTGTGATACTGAAATGGCTAAGATTTACTTAACATTTACTAAGCACTAGGCACTGTGCTTTCATTCGTGTCTCAGTGAAGACTCGCACAAACCCCAAGATTGGCCTGGTCACTGTTTTTGTTTTAGAGGTGACGGAACTCTAAGATCAAAACTGATGCATGGTGTTCAAGGCTCTATAGCTTGTAAGTGCTGGAACCGGGATTCAGCCCAGCCAGCCCGCTTGCAGAATCCAGATGTGCAACTGCCCACTCCTCCGTGCTCTCCTACAAACAGACCAGCGGAGTCCATGGAAAACACCATTTTATAGACTCTACAAGCGGAAGTGTGGAGAACTGCAGTGCTTACTACTTCTAGCTCTTCTCTAAGACAAACGCCCCAAGAATTCTTCACCCCTGTTATCACACATAAGCAGAAAGCAAGAACCCACAACCCACTCAAACACTACGATTTCAGCAAGTACAGGGAGCACAAATGCACCAACTGTACAACACGGAGACGAAAGGAGCACATAAATTTAAAAAGGTAAATACGCCATTGACACAGAAGGAAAAACTATTAAACTCCAACAAAATGAGGTCTGTTCTTGGGAAGCAGAGAGGACACTGAAGCAGCCACACGCCTGAGGACACTGGAAGGTGAGGAAGGTTGCTGGACACGTGCACGGCTTGGGGGCCCTGGAGTTTGAATTGAGGTGCCCTGAAAAGCACCCTCCTCCGATGTCAAGGTGCCACCAAGGAGCAGGAGCCAAGACTCGCAAAAGGACAGATCCTGGCCCATCCCATGTGTCAGCTCCAGGCGGGAGGTGTTTGGTCAGGGCAGGGGAAGGACAGGAAGGAATGACAGGCTGGGAAGTGGATGGTCACTTTCTTGTCATCCCCTCTTCCTCATGGCCCATCCACTTCCCAAGCAGGGCTTGAACAAGCAGGGCTTGAACAAGCAGAGACGGCATGGGAGAGGCGGCCTGTAAAGAAGTGGGTGTGGCCTGCACTCCCCACCAGTGCAGCTTCAGAGATGACACAGGAGGTGACAGGCGGGCTACAGCACAGATGCCTCATGAGAATCAGGCTCGGTTCTTTCCAGTGGGATGCGCTGCTGGGGGCGACACGATGACTCCGAAAGTGAGGCCACGTGTGCAGTCCCTTTGGGCATCCAGCGTCCTTAATCTGAAGGCAGGCTCGTTCACCTACTAGCTAGCCATGTGACCTGGGAGAAGCACTTCACCTCTCTTGCATCCCAGGTTCTCTATCTATAAAGTCCTGCTACTACTACCTTTCTAGGTAGCATTGCTGAGGACCAGCGAGGCCATGCACATAGCACACCTGGCATCCACAGGCACTGGACAGATGGCAGCTGGTAGCTGATCTCGTGTGAGGAACCATCTGTCTGTGCACACTTTCTTTTTCTTTTCCTTCCTATGTGTTGTATTTTACCTGGCCCGAAAGCCCCATGCCAACAGGAGCTGTAACACCCAGGCACCAAGTACAGTGCCTAGTGCTGCTCAAAAACAGAAAACACTTGTAGAAAACGGAGTAAGATAAAGCCAAGTGATCCAGGGCACATCCTGTCTGTCCTGAATTTCCAGACACAAACAGCTGGTGGACATGCAAATGAGCGATGAGGTTTGAAATGGTTTCCAACTTAGCCAGTTCATTTTTGTGGCACTTCTGCTGTCCTAGGCACTCTGAAGAAGTATGAGATTTTACAGGGAGTTTCACCAAGGCCTAGGATCTAGGCCTTGCCATTTGCTAGTTGTCAGTTTCATCATCGGCAAAATGGGGACTATGACAGCACCTATCTCACTGCACAAAGACGGTGAAATACGATTATGCACAGAAACATCTATCAGAGGGCTCAACACGCGATGCCACGAGTGATAGTTTAAAACAAACACGAACACTTCCTGCTCTTCCCAGCTTGTATTTTTCTCGTGCGCTAAAACACTGGCCTTAGCAATTCTCCTATCATTCCTGCGAGCGTTACTTCATTTAGTCTACATTTCCTGACCATACGCTCTAAGCCCAGAATAGTGTTAAAGCTGTAAAGGTGAACACATTCCTTTCTCTCAAAATACTCCTAATCTGGCTGGGGCAAACAGCTAGGCAAGAAGATAAATTACAATGCAAGA